AAAAATAGGCAGAAGAGCTAATACACACTTCTCCAAAGAAGACATCAGATGCCAATAAGCACCAGTGATAAAAAATGTTCATCATCTTTATCATAATGGAATTAATAATTACAACCTTGTCAAATCTGTGGAAATGGCCTATATCAAATATCAGAAACAGTGTTTACAAGAATGTGGAATAAAAGGAACTTGCATACACTATGGTGGGAATGACACTGGCCCAGAGCCTGTGGAAGATAGTATGAGATTTCGCCAAACAGCGAAAATATGTCAGTATTTCCAATCCAAGTTATCTACTGAAATAATGGGGGAAAAACGCTAATATAAATATATATTATGCACTCATCTGTTCATTACAACATTATTTTAAATTAAGATGTTATGGAATAAACATAAGTATGTCCTCAATAGGGCCTCCCTGGTAGTGCAAGGGGTTAAGACAACCTATAAAGAGGATGGGAATTTGAAGGTAGCCAGTGGGCATCTTTGTTTAAAAGCAGCCTGTGTAGTGCCCAGCAATTTTAGGGCCACAGCTCAGAAAGGCAATGGCCAGAGTAGAGGAAGGGGCAGGCATAAGAAGAACCCAAGAGGCTAAGGGAGGAAGCCCTCGCCAAGTTCTTTGCAGCCAGGCAGAGGAGATGTATCAAAAAAGCCAACTTAGAAGACAAAAGCTGGTGCTGAGATGGGAAGCCCTGATTGGCTGTTAAAGCCTAATTATGCTAAAGGCTAATAAGTCTCTAAAAATCACCTCTGGGTGATGACTTGTTCATTGTCAAGTGAGGGTGAGGAGCTGAGGAACTCGTCCTTGGGGGACGGCTGGGGAATGTGGCTTGTGGGAGCCCACAGCCAAAGAGGGAATCCAAGAGAGGCCGCATGTGGAGCTTGTATCCATGGATCCCCGGCTGATGTGCTTGTGCAGTGGATTGGCCTGAGTGCAGGGGCCTGCGTGTCTCATTGGTGTCTATGAAAGCCGAATGTTGGAGTGACCACCAACAGAAAACCCTGAGGGTTTGGCGATTACCCCCAAAGTACAGAATCGCCAATCCAAGAGTGAGTGCATCCTGGGGGTGGATGTGGTGTGTGTGTGGCTTGTGGCTCAGACCACAGCTGGAGAAAGCCAGGAAACCTGACGGCTCCTGTCATGCTGTGAGTGGTTCCCATCCCTTGTATGAGCAGTGCCTTTGGCAGCAGAAGTGGTGTATCATCTGCTGGTGCCAAAAATCTTGTCTTTTGCCACTAGCTTGGTCCCCTGGATTAATTTGTGTTCTGCTGTATTTTGTTATATTTTTTATATTGTGATGTGTACTGTTTACTTTTGTGGGCCATGGCTGCAGTGTTCATATTTGCCATGAGAAATGTGTGTATAACATGCATATAACTTGTTTATGTAGACTGTATAGCAGAAAACCATGGGGGGTTGGATTGTAGGGTAAATAAAGTATCGGGTTATTTTGCCCTCCCGCCTTTAGCATTGATGATGGAACCATGTGGTTCTGAATGCATACCTGGTTGTGGGCACCTGGACTACGGTGTGGGCATACATAGATGGGTACACCTGGGTTGAGAGACTGGGCTTATAAGGGTGGCATCACAGGGACAGCAGCAGAGCATCGCAAGAGATTAGAACAAACAGAGGCATTGAGAGAATGCCGGGGAGCCCTGAAAGAGTGAAGATTCATGGGGGGCTAGGAGGCCTGCCAGGGGAAGATAAATGGAAAGCTCTTAATATGGGGTGAATTCATAGATCAGAATTTTGAGATGAGCATTATAGACACCTAGAAAAGGGTGGGTCAATACATGAGCTACAAGATTTAAGCCAGCAAAGTTAAGGATGTCAAGAGAGTAGTCACTGTAAAGGACTATGGGAAAAATGGTTGATGAGATGATTACCCATTCTGTTCTGAAGGTCTTCTGAAAAACAAAACCGAACAATCAATGTAAATAGCAGAGTGAGACAATGCATGGAATGTTCAAATGTGGAAAAATTTTCTATTATAGATCTGGTCCATCAGGATAGAGACACAATTCATATATAAAACACGTAAACCCACACAAGAAGTCAACACAGAAAGCTGTTCTGGCAAACACACTTACCAAGAGTGCTGGGTATCACTTGCTTGTCCATAAGAGAACAAAGTAATGACAATGTGGAAAGAGGACTGAATGTATTCAAATGAGGAAAAAAAAAATGAAAAAGGGAAGCTCTGGTGTCCTCCCCAAACAAACATGTTTCATAGCATGAGTCATTATTTAAGCTTTTATCATTCAATTTCTGAATATTAGTTAGTTTTGCCACTGTTTCAAAATAAATTATAGCTCTGGTCAGGTTATATAAAGGAGCCACACCTGAGAAGGTGCTGCTGCAGAAATCTGACTCAGTTTCCCAGACCTTCATACTCAAAAATCTTCATTAATTCATTAGGTAGGAACTTGTTGCCTGACAGTTTTGTATAAAGCATGCCTGTGCAATATTTATCTTAACAAAATGACATACAATGAAAAAAAATCATGTAATAAGTGGCAGAAAAGTCGATCTACATGAGTCAAGTTAGAGAAAACCTCCATGCCAGCAACTGTAAAAATTCCAAACCTCAGAAGATATTATTCATATAAGGCACCAGACTCCATAGATTACAAAGACAAGGACAAGCAGGGAGCCCAAACTGGGGAACTGGGTGAGAGAAAAAGGAGGCACATTTCGTTTAGAATGCCTAAACCCTAGCAAAATTGTGTAAAAACAGATGTGCCATGCCATTGAGGAAGATAATTATTGGGAGATGAAGACAAAAGAACAAGGAACAGGTGAAATCGTGACTAGCTAACAAAGAAACACATTCAATTCAGAAGGATCTCACATGTCACTTTTTCTGTTTCTGCAAAAAAAGCTGTAATGATGCAACAGTCTGCTACCGTAGTAGTCTTGGGTTGTGTTTATTAGCATCCTGTTTGAATTAACACACTTGTGAATGAAATGAAGATGCCAGTCACTGTTCCTTTGATGCTCCACCCTAACATCACGAAGAATGATCCTATCATGATCTGTCACATGACTGTTCTTTGATGCCCAATCGATATACAATCATCAGAAAATGTGATCTCTGAATCATCCATGTGTAAATGTAGTGTCTTCTGACAATGATCCCAAATGAATTTTACAACATCATGGCTTCATGCTTTGACATCACCTTCCAAATTCATTTTGACATTTCTATCACCACCTGGAAGTGCTACTGGTTGTTTATTTGTTTTCAAGTAGCTGTTCATTCTTTCAAAGGGAGACTGGCTAGATATCACAATTTGTGAATTGGGGGTTGGGAAGCACTGGAGACATGATCACAATATCAGGAACTATTAGAGACATGGAGCATTTGCAAAGGTATGATTGTGACTTACCTTTGTTGTGTTCTTTCTTATCTGGAAAACAGAAATAGAGGAAAGTGTTTACAGTAGCTATGCTGGATGTCAGAATCTCAAAAATACCAAATTAGTGAAGACTGACCTAATGCCACTAAGCAAATGGATTAGCTTCCCAAAGCTCCCATTCACAACATATAATGAAATTCTTTTATTCCAAGCCTTGTCATTTGTGTTACTATTTCAGGTCAATCCTGTATCAAACTCCCCTTTTAAAATCACACCAAAAGATGAAAGGTGACTTATAAAATGATCTTAACAAAATGGCAAAAGCTGAAGGAAAATCACATAGTAAGAGGCAGAAAAGAGGTTCTATATTGGTCATAAGGCTGAGTGGAGTTGCAAAGCATGAAAGAAGAGGAAATCAGGGCAACAGTTCTAGCAATGTTTATGGAACTCATAAGAAAGAAAAAAGGATGAAACAAGAATGTAATAAAGATAAAGAAATTATGTGGTAGCTAAAATTAAAAGAAAGCAAAATAAGAACATGATACTGATTTAAAGAACAATTCAGGGTCTCAATAATAAAAGAATAAAGCAATGGAGAGCATTAACAAGCTCAAAAACACAATGTTGAGAAACAAAAGATAAAAAATGTAGATAGAAATAAATATAAATATTAAAGTCATTCTGTGTAAAAGCTATCTGGGCAATTTTTTCAAATATATTTTATTGCATTATTGTTAATGTTTGTACAGTATTTGATTATGTCCTTCATTGTAGTCTTCAACTCCACAATCCCTTGGGCTCTTCCTTCTCCTCTTTTGACACCTACACCACTCTTTCTCCTGCTGTATGCCTTAGACCTATGATCAGCTTGCAGATGTTGTCTTTTGTTTTGTTACAGTGTATTCCACATATAAGTGAAGCCATCTGATATTTATATTTTTCTTCTGAATTATTTTGCTAGCGTGCCTTCCACCGCCGTGTTTGGGTAAATGCTGTGAGTTTACCTTTTTGATAGCTGAGTAGTATTCCATTGTGAATATGTAATATGAACATATCTTCTTCATCCATTCATATTTTGGGTATTTTGGTTGTTTCCTTATTGGTGGCTATTGTACAATGATGCTGCATTAAAAATAGGTTTCCTTATTTATTTTGTTTTTGTGTTTTGATTATTGTTTTTCTGTCCTTTGGATAGATTCCTAGAAGTGGAATTGAGGGGACATCAGTAGGTCCATTTTGTGTTTTGAGGAACCTTGTCACAACTTTCCATACTGGCTGGATCAGTTTGCATTCCCACCAGTGTAAGAGGGTTACTTTTTTATACATATCCTTGTCAGAATTGTTTTTGTTTCTGTTTTATTCAATATGTGTAAGCCTGTGTCTCATTGTGGGTTTGATTAGCATTTCCCTGATAATAAGTGACCATGAACATTATTTCATATCCTGTTGGCCATTTTCATTTCTTCTTTGGAGAATTGTCTTTTAGTTCATCTCCTCATTTTTTGATTGGTTTGTTTGCTGTGTTTTTGTTGAATTGTGTAAGTTTTTGTACATCTTTGATATCAGTTCCTTGTTAGTTGGATGGTGTGCAAATATATTCTCCCATTCAGTAGGGTATCTCTTCATTTAGGTTGCAGCCTCTTTTATTGTACAGAAGCTTCTTAGTTTGAATGCATTCACAGTTGTTAATCTTCTCCTTTGTTCTGTGCTTTTGTATATGAGTCCTCAAATATGTTTCCGTAGTTTATTTGGGGAATGTTTTTACCTATGTATTTATTTTTTTTTATTTATTTATTTATTTATTTATTTATTTATACAAGCACTGGGGACAGTCAAAAGCGCAGGACGGTGAGAGAATTCACCTGAGCCAGAGCGGGGAGCAGAGCAGGCAGAAGGACCTGAGTACACTGCTGAGGGGAGCAGCGGGGCAGGAGAGGTCTGCGCCCATGTGGGACCCTCGACCAGTGATTCGGGGATCTAAAAAGCGCTTCAAAGGCTGCGGCAGCTTCTCAACCCAGTGCTCAACCACTGTGCCACCGGGGAGGCCCTTTACCTGTGTATTCTTACACATATTTTATGGTGTCTGGTCTTACCAAGATTTTTATCCATTTTGAATTGATATTTCTGTATGGTGTGTAGTAGTAGTCTATGTTCATTGTTCTGCATGTGGACATGGAATTTTCCCAGCACCATTTATTGAAGAGATTTTACTCTGTTCAGTACGTATATTTGCCCTGTTGTCATAGATTACTTGACCATATATGTGTGATTTTATTTCTGGGCTTTCAATTCAATTGCATTGCTCTGTGTATCTTTTTTGTTCTAGTGTCATAATCTTTTATTATTATGGCTTTGTTCATAATTTGAAGTTTGAGAGTGTAATAAATTTGTTCTTCCTCTTTTCAGTCATGGGGGCTTTAAATATTTATTTTTAATTTTTTTTTTCCTTAGAAATACTGGGGTATAGGCCAGAGATATGAGGGCTGAGTTGCTTCACCAGAGACAGAGTGGGGAGCAGAACAAGCACATTTACTGAAATACACTGCTGAGGGAAGCAGCGTGCAAGACAGGTAAAATCTGCTGAGCCATGTGGGTAAGCTCCCTGGCAAAGGATAAATTCAGGTGGTAGCAGTGATAGTACTGAGACTTAACCCTTAGGCCATCAGGGAGTCCCTATTTGGGTGTGTTTGTGATTCCATGTGAATTTCTGAAATATTTGTTCAATTTCTTTGAGGAATGTCAAAATTGAGATCAATTGGAATTGCTTAGAATCTATAAATCTCTTTGGGTAGAATAGCCATTTTGATAATGTAGATTCTTCTGATCCATGAGCAGAGGATTCCTTTCCATTTCTTTGTTTCTTCTGCTATTTCTGTTAACAATGATTTTTAGTTTTCTTTGTAAAGGAACTTTACATCCTCTGTCAGATTTATACTGAAGTATTAGATATTTTTTTGGTACAATTGCAAATGGGATAGTTTTCTAAAGTTCTTCCTCTTCACACTGATTGTTTGCATATAGGAAGGTTACTAATTTTTGTGTGCTGATTTTTTAACTGCTGCTTTACTGGGTGGGTTTGTTGTTTTAGTTAATTTCTCCATGGATATTTTATGGTTTTCTCTCTCTCTATATATATATATATATATTGTTATATCATCAGTGAATAATGATAGATTTTACTCTTCTTTCCCTATTTGTACTCCTTTGATGCCATTCTCATGCTTAATCGGTCTAGTGAGTACTTCCAGTGTATATTGAAAAGCAGTGGTAAACATGGACATCCTTCTCGTGTTTCAGATATTAATGGAAAGTTTTCAAATTTTCACCATTTAGAATGACACTTTCTTTGGATGTGTCATATATGGCTTTTATATGTTAATTATTTTGCAATATAGCTTTAATCAAAATGGATGTTAAATTTATCAAATGTTTCCTCAGCATGTATTGAGATGATCATATTTTTTCTTGTTTGTTTGTTTGTTTTAAGATTTATTTATTTATTTCTACAAGCACTGGGTACAGTCAGAAGCGCGGGAGGGCGAGAGAATTCACCAGAGCCAGAGCAGGGAGCAGAGCAGGCAGAAGGACCGAAGTACACTGCTGAGGGGAGCAGCGGGTGGCAGGAGAGCTCTGCGCGCCATGTGGGACCTTCCTCCAGTAGCCAGGGAGCAGCCAGGGCTCTAACAGGCGCTGCAGACGCTGCGGGCAGCTTTGCAACCCAGCGCTCAACCGCTGTGCCACCAGGGAGGCCCAATCATATGGTTTTTAATGTTCTTTTTATAGTTGTGGTGGATTATATTATTTATTTACAGATATTGAACCATCCGTGTTTCCTTGTAATAAATCCTGCTTGGACATGTTTGATCCTTTTGATGCATTGTTGAATTTGGCATGCTAAGGTTTTATGGAGGATTTTGACATCCAAGTCCATTTGGGAGATTGGTGTGTAGTTTTCTATTTTTCTATTGTTTCAGTTTGCTTTCTTAGTGTGATACTGGCCTTCTAAAATGTATTTGGTAGTATTCTTTCTTAAAATTTTGAAAGATTTTTAGCAGGATTAGCATTAGTTCATCTTAATGGTTGGTAGAACTCTCTTATGATACCACCTTGCCCCTGTTTTAGCTATATCCCATATACATATACAGTTTAGCTATATCCCATATGTTCTGAAATGTGTCTTTATTATAATTAGTCTCAAGGTATTTTTTTTTCTAGTTTGAGTTCTGCACTAGTCAATTGTCCTTCACTAGTATGTTGTTCAGTCTCCAAGTAATTGTGGACCACTTTTCTTTCTTTTTTTTTTAAGCTTTATTTTTATTTATGCATCCAAGAATTAAGGTGCAGGCCAGAGATGCAGGGGGTGAGAGGATTCACCAGAAATAGAGTGGGGAACAGAACAGGCAGACTGACTGCAATACACTGCCAAGGGGCGCAGCGGGCTAGTCAGGAGAGGTCTGCTGAGCCTTGTGGGTTGCTCCCTGGCCAGTAGGGGATCAAACTCTGTGCTGCAGAAGCTGTAGATTGCTTCACAGTGTGGTGCTTAACCCCTTGCACCATCAGGGAGGCCCCTCCACTTTTCTTTCTTTTTTTCTGTTCATATCTAGTTTTATATCTGTGCAGTTGGAGGAGATTCTTTATATCATTTCAATCTTTGCATATATGCTAATGTTAATATTTTAATGCAGTATATAGTAGATCCTAGGGAATGATTCATATGCATTTGAGAAAAATGTGTATTCGGTGTTTTGAGGGCACAATGTCCTACAGATGTCTTTAAGCCCATGCCATCAAGATCCTGTTTAGTACTACTGTATCATTGTTTATTTCCTGTCTCAATGATCTGTGCACTAGTTAGAGTGGCATGTTGAAGTCTCCTACCATATATTTGTTTTTTCCAACATCTCTTTTCAGAGAAGATAGTAATTTTCTAATGTGTTTTGGCACTCCTGCATATGGTGAGTCTATATGTATATTTATATATGCATCCATTTGTATATTGCATATTTGGTGAATATATGACTGTTATGACTTCCTGGTGTATCGTCCTCTTTATCATTATATAGTGTACATCTGTGTTTCTTGTCACCTTTTTCACTGAAGTCTATTTTATCTGATATAAATATGACTGGCCTTCCGTTCTCCTGTGCCATTTTCTTGTAGAATTTTTTTCCAAAACTCTATGTTTAATGTATGTTTGTCTCTTGAACTCAGCTATGTTTCCTGCAGGAAGCAAAAGGTTAAATTTTGTTCTCTAATACAACATGCTACTCTGTGCCTTTTTAGTCATGAGATTAGTACATTAACATTTAGGGTGATTGTTGATACACAGAAGTCTAGTAAGCCATTTTGTTTGTTGTTTGTGGCTCTATTTAATTCCCTAGTCAGTTCTTTGTGTTCCTTCCTTTGTTGGTTTCAATCTTATGGCTACCTGTATTATTAATTGGAGTGAGGGTTTAATTATAGTGAATTTTCCAAGGATTTGCTTGTCTGATAATGTTCTTATTTTTTCCTCATATGGGAAGGAGAGCAAGCAGGATGTAGTATTAATAGTTGGCATTTCTTGTCTTGGAATTTTGTGTGTTTTTTTTTTTATTTTTTAATATCTCATTCCATTCTCTTTTTTACCATAGTGTTTACCATTACCTTCTTTAAAAAAATATTTTTTTATTTATATCTTTTACATCATTGTGTATTCCCTGTAAAATTCCCACCACCAGTTCACCCATGAACCATCATCATAGGCCTCTGTGCTCTTCTCTCCCCTGCTTTGGTCCTTCTTCTTCCCCTCCCTCACATAAGGTCTCTTATTTATGCTTGCCTGCTAGTTTTGTTTATTATTATTATTATTATTATCATTATTATTATTAATCATCATGTATTTTTTCCTGATCCCTTATTTGGTTCCCCTATATCCCTCCTATAATTTTTCTTTTTCCTTCTGGTTTATTTCACAGAGCACGGTCATTTCTAGCTCCATCCATGGTGCTGCAAATGGCATGAGTTAATCTTTTGATTGCTGAATAGTAATCCATTGTATATATATACCACATCTTCCCAATCATGTTACCATAATCAGTTTTCCTTTATAGGTTTTCTTTCTTCCCCTTCATCAGCTTCATTAACTTTTCTTTGCCTTGGATTTTTGGAAACTTTACTACTATGTATTTTGCTATAGACTTCATTAAAATCTTTTGGTGTCCTTTTAGCTTCCTGTATGTCTATTTTAATTTCCTTCATAAAGTTTGGGAAGTTTTCTTCAATTATTCCCTTGAATACCTTTTCCAGTCCCTTCTCTCTCTTTTCTGTGATTCCTGTGACTCTTATATTTCCTTTCCTCGAGGTACCAGACAATTCTTGAAGGGTTTCATATCCTTTTCCTTTTCTCTTCTTTCTTTTTCTTTCTTGGTTCTACTGTGTCTGTGTCTTAGCAATTACTGATTCATTCTTCCACACATTTTATTCAATTTCAATGATGTTTTCCAGAAATTTTAACCTCTTTAACTGAAATTTTTAACTTGTAATTCCTAAATTTTTGTTTAAATTTTCAATCTCAAATCTTCTGTTTGTTGATTATGTTTTTCATTTAACTTTTCCTTTTCTGTGTCTTCACATATATCTTTTATCTGTTTTTCAAATTCCTTGATTTTCTTAAATATTACAACTTTGAATTCATCTTTTGACAAGAAAACATTTTTTTTTTATATTTGCACATCTCCCTATTATTGTTTGCTTTTGGATTTGCTCTGTCATAGGTAGCTTCTGTGGGACATGAGTCTTTCTCTCACTCTAATTCTGAGTGTTTACCAGAGCACAGTGCAAGTCACCTGGGCAGTTGGGAGCAATAGGCAGAATCTCCAGCTGATATTACCTGGATATTGGTCTTCCAGGTGGATTTAAGGGCTTCTGGGGCCGATAATATTTATCTGGGTAAATCCTTGGCAGGGTGTCATGGATGGCCATGTGGCCTCTGACTTATTTCTTGACTCAGGACCGGGGTTTCACCTATCTGCATGGGTGCTGGCGGGGATCCCATGGTAGGTCTTATGGCTTTTCTAACTTCAAGCAGGCATTGATTGGGTCCTGTAATAGGTTGTAATAGGTTCAGTCTGCCTGACTGAATAGGTGCTATCTGTCTGGATTGGAGCTGGGAGGGTCTCATCCAATAGACCTATGCTTATACAGGTGGTTGTTGGAGGGTTCTCTTGCAAAGGTCAAGAGGTCTCTGGGTATTCTATCTGCCTCCTTGAATTGGATCTGAGGTATCAGTGGTCCAGGCAAGTACTAGATGTGTCTCATGGAAGTTTGAGAGACTTCTGTTGTTCTGGGAAGTGGCAGTCAATTTCTCATGCTGAAGATCACAGGTCTCTGGGTGCTATTACTCCCTTCCTGAGGTCAGTCTCAAGTCTCATCTGATCTGGGTGGAACTGACAGGGTTCTGCTGATATCACAAAGCTTCTGCTATTCTGGACAGGGGCCAATGACTTCTCATATTGAAGGTCACAAGATCTCTGGCTGCTCTGGCTTCCTTCCCTAGTGGGTATCAAACCTCACCTGACTGGGCTGGGGTTGGCGGGGTCCTGAAGAAGTTCATAGAACCTTTGATGTTCTGGTTGGGGGCCGGGGACTTCTCATGCTCTAGGTCATGAGTTCTCTGAGTTCTCTGGATCCCTCTCTGAGGTACATCTAGAACAAAAATATACATGTTAACAGAATATATGGATGCACAGAAGCAATCTTAAGAGTTAAGATAACTGCAACAAAGCCTTACATTAAAAAGCATAAAAGTCCAAATAAATTATCTAGAGTTAGTAGAGGGAAAGAAGAAATGGGAGGTTCAAACAAGAAGAAATAGAGATAAAAAGATCATACAAAAAAAAAAATCAGTGAAACTAAGAGCTAGTTCTACGAGAAAATGAACAAAGTAGATAAACCTTTTGATAAGATACAAGAGAGAACATTAATAAATAGAGTCACAGGGAATCTCTGGCCTGCACCCCAGTTCTTATATGCACAAATAAATAAAAATAAATCTTAAAAATTAAATGAATAAATAGAATCACAAATGAAAGAGGAGAAATAACAACATATAGACATATCAACAGACATACGGATGATCATGGCACTACTATAGCAAGTACTGCCAATAAATTGGAAAGCATTGAAAAAATTGATAATTTCAAAATCAATGTGATCTACAAAGACTATCCCTAAAAGAAACAGATGAACTGAACAAATTGACCACAAACATGGGAATTGAACAGAATTAAAAATATTTGGGGAAAAAAGCCCGGGACCAGATAGCATTACAAACATAAACTCTTACAAATTACCAAGGTTTACCTTATTTAAATTATTTCTAAAAATACAAGAAAGAATGCTCTCTACAAATTTAATGATATAAAATTTCATGTACAAAAAAGAATATTACTCTACTTTAATACAAGATTCCTATATAAAATTGAACCTATCAAAATGCAAACATACACCGGTACACACACCAGCACACAATACAGTGATTAGAAATCACTTTTTTTTTAATATTATTCTTCCCAAAATGAAAATGGGCTTAGAAAGATTGAGCTTATTGAAATGAAATTGAAAGAAAATTTTGTGACTAGTTCCCATGATTTTTTTAAAATTTCTATTACTTTAGATATTATGATTTTATTGTTCAACTAAGACAAAAGTAGGAGTGGCCGAGTATTAAGTAGGCACACATGTGCCTGCTACACAAACGGAGATCCATGGACAAAGAGTGCTCCTCACCAAAGATACTGAACGTATAAAATGATCACAAAAAGAGTCTGAGTGAAATATAGTCAAACTTAGTGCTTTAAATGGAATCAAAATGACAGAAGAAAGAATTTAGGATGTGATACTACAATATAGCACATCATGGACAACTGAACTACACAAAACTGCCTTTGAAACCAAGCACAAACTATTTACAAAGTGTGAGTCTGGTAGTCCTGACATTGCCCTTTCCATTTGGAGGCCCAAGTTTTACAAATCTAGACTAGAACCTCAGAAGAATGGAACAACAAAAAGGCGGTAAGGGAAGTGATGATAACCTAAGCACTGAGTACAGCTGTCAAACAAAACAGCAGATAAATGTGACTAACATCATTCCTCAATCCAAGGTCTAGTATTAAAGACCTAGACACACCCTCCACCTCCACAAAAACCAATACAAGTTGGAAAAGCAAAAGAAGAACAGAAATCCTGGGACAAACACAGAGGAGACAGAGATAGAGAATGTATCTGACAATGATTCCAAAATAATAATAAAATAATGTTAAATGAGATACTGGAAGGTCAATCAAAGACAAACAGGCAGGCACAGGATCTCAGAAAGGAGATCCATGGACAAAGAGTGTTCCTCACCGAAGAGACTGAACATATAAAATGATCACAAAAAGAGACTGAATGAAATATAGTCCAACTTAGTGCTTTAAATGGAAACAAAATCACAGGAGAAAGAATTTAGGATGTGATACCACAATATAGCACATCATGGACAACTGAAATATTTGAAGCAACTGGTAACATGACTAATGTTGAACGAAATCTGAAAAGTGGTGGGTATTCTTTCCCTTTGGTTGTATTTGCTTACTAGTGAAAATAAAGTCATAAAAATATTCTTGACCCCTTTACTTTATTTTTGCTTTCATTATTTTGCTGTGAGATTTAATAAAGTTCTCATATTCTCTTTGAATACATAATTTCCAATATTGTACTAACTATGTTATATAAAGTAACCTTAAAACCTGAATTCAGATTGAAACTAAATCAAATTAGAATTCTTCTGTACAGTGAAAGAAACCCAAAAAAAAAAAAAATGAGACGACAACCTGCTGAATGGGAGATGATATTTGCATATGTCCAACAAAGGATTATTATACAAAATATGTAAAGTCATACACCTTAACAACTTAGATTGTGACAATAAAATAGTGGTTACCAGGGCCTCCCTGGTGGTGCAAGGGGTTAAGCACTACATTATGAAGCAATCCACAGCCTCTTCAGCACGAGTTCCATCCCTGGCCATCCAGAAAGAAACCCACATGGCACAGCAGACCTCTCCTGTCTCACCCATGGCTCCACTTAGCTCCACAGTCAGTCTGCCTGGTCTGTTCCCCACTCTGTCTCTGGTGAATCCTCTCATGCCCCACATCTCTGGCCTGTACCCCAGCTCTTGTATGCATAAATAAATAAATCTTTAAAAAACATAGTAGTTATCATAAGGAAAGGAAAAGCAGTAGGAGCAATAGAAAAGGGATCCAATTTGATATTGTTGAAAACCACTAGAACAGGGATAGTAATAGGTGTGATATGTTATATGCCTAAAACAAACTGTGATGTTATATTATTGAAACATAGTTTTGTAAAACAGTGGTAAATCAATGAATATTTAAAAAAAAATCTGAATTAGAAGATCTTGAACCACAACTTCTAGAAAAAATAGAATTAGATTCCTGGGTGCATCAATTTACAACATTTTAATTTACCAATGAATAAATCATTACTTTATGTGGATGGATCTTTCATTTTTTATGACCAATAATGTCATTAATTAACACATAAAAGGAAGGAATATAAAATGTTAAATGGTGATAGACAAAGTTTAAATAAATTGACCTGAATACATATCGGGCAATACTTATACTCAGGTGCTGCAGGGGGACTTGATGCCCCAGCCAGATAAGATACTGGAAAGCAGCTAACAAAAAGGGCCTCACACCATGGGGCCAAGCTAAAGGGCCTCACACTGCAGGGCTGAAGATTCCTTGTGTCTCACACTGTGGGGCTGAATATTTAACATACCTTCATTTTTTGTTCTTGGTCATCAAAGGAGAAAAATTTATCAGAAAGTACATTAGGCTATAAATTACATATATCAACATACTGCTAGTAAATGGCAGGGAAAATTATCTGTTTAAAAAATTAGTTAATAAACAATTTGGCCCACTTGACAATGGGAGACAATTTACTGTACATATCTGACAAGCAATCCAGCACAACTATTATAGTAAGCCCTTCTTCTGCTTTTGCAGAAGTTCCTTTTTTTTAAAGAAGTTTATTTAGGTTTGTTTTTTATAAGCATGTAGTAAACAGTGAGAGTTAAGAAGTTAGGCAGAAGAAGTTCTAAGGGAGCAGCTGCAGGAAGGTCTGCATGATCTCTGGTAGCAGCGATCAAACAGGCTGCAGAGTGGCAGCTTCCAGCGCTCAAGCCATGAGGAAGTTTTTAAAAAGTTTCTTAGGAAAGTTTTAAATGAAGTTAACAGTGTTAAGTTTCTAGGTAGAAAAAGTTCTGATAGCTGAGAAGCAGCTGGTCTCGGGCTGAAGGCCATGTGAATAAAAGAGTCTTTTGATGCTTAGACTTTAGCTGATAGGGATGTACTGGCGGCTATCAACTGTCTTAGGTAATTGTCTAGCTGAAATAATAAGTTTTAGTGTTAGGTTTGGTTTTTATCTATTAACCTTGATGGCCATCGTCTAGCTGAGACCCGTAGGAGCCAGTAGTCCATGGGAATAGAATACATTAATTGTTTCTGCTTTACACATGATGTATTTTTTTCCACTTGCTAAAAATAAATAAAGACCTGCTGAGTCTCTCGGCAGAAGAGATTTTCACCCCATCCAGTATCAGTGTCTCCTCAATCCTCTTCCTTTCAGCCCCTAACGTGTCGTCTAGGCCTTCTCATCCTTTCAGGAAACCCTGACACTACATTTTGCCGAGGCTGGTCCCCAGCACTCAGGCACAGTGCAAAATGCCAATTCAAAAGTATGTAGATTAATGCAATTGTAATATGTAAAATTAATAAGATTTGTTAATGAAAGGATTTTTTTAATGATTAATATGACAGGAGAATCAAATAATGGGTAAATGAAAATGGGACATTTCAGAGAGAAAATAGGAAGAGATATACTCATGTAAAAATATGGGTATGTTGATTTTGAAGTTTCAGAGTCAAAGGCATAAAAATTATAAAAAGTCAATGAAATAATTAGGTACACAATGAAATATATTTCAATACTTGCCTTTTTTTCTCTTCAAATTGATAAATAAAAGGAAGAATTTTGCATTCAAAATGAGAACACAACCACAAAAATGGAGACAGAGAAAAATATTTAAGTTTTTTTGTGGTTCAAATTGACCTATGGGGCTTCCCAGGTAGCGCAGTGGTTGAGCGCCATTTGCAAAGCTGTCTGCCGCCTCTGCAGCGCTGGTTCGATTCCCCGCCAGCCAGGGAGAACCCCACATGTCACAGCAGACCTCTCCTGTTTGCCCGCTGCTCCCCTCAGCAGTGCTTTCGGTTTGTCAGCCTGTTCTGCTCCCTGCTCTGTCTCTGGTGAATCCTCTCACCCTCCCACACTTCTGACCTGTACTGCAGTTCTTGTATATATAAACAAATAAATCTTTTTTAAAAAAATTGACCTATGTCCCTGAGAGTGTCTCAAAGGCACTCTAAAAAATATGGGCAATATTGTTTGTTTTTTTTTTCTTTTAAGATTTATTTATTTATTTGTTTATTTATTTATTTATACAAGATAGGGGTACAGACCAGATGCGCGGAACGGTGAGAGTGTTCACCAGAGACAGAGAGGGGAATAGAATAGGCTGACTGAGGAATTACATTGCTGAGGGGAGCAGCAGGCGAGTCAGGAGAGGTCTGCCGCGC